TATATATATATATATATATATATATATATATATATATATATATATATATATATATATCCCACAAAACTTCGTGATCCAATAGTTTGGTTTAGTTACCAATCTACTCTCTAACCTACTGAGAGAAATTTTACTAAAGGATATCTCTCGGTAGACTACAGGATGTGCAGATTGGGTTACAGAATTAACCTATCGGATCATTAAGTGCGGAAGTAGCAAATGAAAAGATTTTTGTGTAATAAGTCCTATTGAAGTGACGTTCACGAGCTTCAATTTCACTGCTTTCTCTTTTTGATAAGGAACTTTCAAAAGACTTCGCCTATGATTTATAATAATTAGAATGTCAGCCTTTTTTAGCGCGATATTATGGACGAGGAAGGTGTTTGGGACTCAGCTATCAAGCGTCAAAATGCCAACCTCATCATTTGTATGGCTGACTGGATAGTTCCGGGACATGGTCAACCATTCCGTGTTCTGCCTCACTATAGGTATGATTACTACCACTGCTATTTCTAGGCCAAATATCCCAATTTTCACCTTTTAGGCAAAGAGCTGGCTGTACCCGACTTCTAGCCCAACGACATAATACGGCCTAAGCGCTATAGAAAAGCACACGTATTCCGCTGTGACAGAGGGGAGTAGTTAGCTGCGCTCCATCATTGTTTCCTTCTTTTCCCCATTCTCATTTTTCCTTTGCTTTCCGCTTTTTGTGCTCAATGTGATTGAGCAGCTCTCTTTCAGTTCTTGGGCGATTGGTTATCGCTTAGTTTAAGTATGTACTATGTACGATGTTTTCCCAATTGCAGTCAACACTTGTGATTGCGTTGTTTTTTCCTGTGCTCCAGCATTCTTCAATGTGCATTGTTCGTTATAAAGGCTTCAGATGATTCTTTTGTTGAAATAACGCAAAAAATGACATGTGAAAGTGAATCATCAATTTGAGTGTAACTACACACCAGATCCAAAAATCTCACTAATATCTGACTGGTTACAGGCAATCGAACTGAATTACCTTCCTTTTCCCGGCAGTTTCCATTGTCTGAGCTTGGTTTTATTGTGCAGTTACACCATATGCACACATTATCTCTACTGACAAAAAAAAGATGGTCAGGCGAAGATGGTGATTCAAAAGAGATGCATACAGGCAAATAC